TTGTTGTTGTTGTTGTTGTTGTTGTTGTTGTTGTTTTCGTTGTTGAATTCTCATTTCTGAAGAATTATTATTTTTGATCCCCCCCGCCTGGTGCACATTGTTTTTTTTTTTTTTCGATTGAAGTGCCCTTCCCGGGGCTCGCACCCTGTTTTTTTTATCAGGGAAAGTCTTGAGCGTCAAACTGTGTCGTTGGCCCCCGGTTTACAACAACAACGGCGCCTGAGACTTCCTCACAATTTAGCCAGGACCCCCGCTCCCGCCCGAGACTTCTTCTTGTTTTATTCAGGAATCGCGCTCTCGCTTGGGACTTCCTTAGAATTTATTTTCGCCGCGCTCTGGAGTCGCGCTCTCGCTGGAGACTTGCTTGCAATTTACTGAAGAATAGCGCCCTTGCGTTGGAGTTTCCTGCAATTTACTCAAGCTCTGCGCTCCCGACACCCAGGCACCTAGGAGTCGCGCTCACGCTTCGGACTCCCTCACAGATTACATAGGAGTCGGGATGTCGCTGCCCTTCGTGGCCCCGTTGCAGCCCTTCGTGGCCCCCTCGCTTTGTTTCGTGGCCTCTTTGCAGCCCTTCGTGGCCCTTTCGCTGCCCTTCGTGGCCTCGTTGCAGCCCCTCGTGGCCTTCTCGCTGCCCTTCATGGCCCCGTTGCAGTCCTTCGTGGCCCCCTTGCTTTGTTTCGTGGCCCCGTTGCAGCCCTTCGTGGCCCCCTCGCTGCCCTTCGTGGCCCCGTCGCAGCCCTTCGTGGCCCCGTTGCAGCCCTTCGTGGCCCCCTCGCTGCCCTTCGTGGCCCCGTTGCGTCCCTTCGTGGCCCCCTCGCTGCCTTTCGTGGCCCTATGCATGTATGCTTTTCGTGGCCCCCGCTCGTTCGCGCCCGTGGTGGCCCCATATGCATATGTCCTACGTGGCCCAGTTGCTACCCTCAGTGGCCCCATCGTTGCCTTCTGTGGCCCCGCATTATCGGCCCTTCGTGGCCCTCGCTCGTTCGCGCTCTTCGTGGCCCCATACGCATTCCCTTCGTGTCCCCGCTGTTGCCCTTCGTGGCCTACTTCGTGTCCTTGTGGCCCTGCTGTCGTTCTCTTTCGCTCTCGCTTTCGCTCGTCGCCGTCATCGTCGACGTCGTCGTCGTCGTCGCCGTCGTCGTCGACGTCGTCGTCGTCGTCGTCGTCGTCGTCGTGGACGGTCCCCAGTCCGTCCCTCTTGGGGTCGGGTCGACGGTCCGCGGCCGCCCCGCCGATCAGCGCTGCCGCTGGCCAGGCCGACGGTCCGCGGCCGCCCCGCCGCTTGCTGGGGCCCGGCCTGCAGGGAAGAAAGGTATACCCCCCAAAAGGGGTTCGATCGAAGACGAAGAGGGCGGGTATCGAGGGTTTGGGAAATAGGCGTTATTGGACACTCGAGCAGATAAGGGCGAACAGTCTTAAAAATGATTGTTGTTGTTGTTGTTGTTGTTGTTGTTGTTGTTGTTGTTGTTGTTGTTGTTGTTGTTGGTGTTCTTGTGTTAGTATGTGTTTGTGGCAAACATGCTTTACCGCGAATATCGCAATTCATGAGTAGTTTTGCGGGCGCTACCTGCTCCTCCCTTCCTCCTTCTCCTGTTTTTCCTGTTGCTGATGGTTCTCGTCATATGAGCACATGGTCTTCTTGTTTCGCGTGCCTCCAGTCCATCCAACCATCAGCGTCGTGCCTCTTGGAGGCCTCTTGGAACTATCTTGGATGCGTCTTGCTGGCCCCCAGGGGACTTGGACGGTTTTTGGTGGAAGCCTTCAAAGCGGTTCTGGGAGCGTCTTCGCTTGTCTTGAGGCATCAGTATTTCCAAATTGTTCCGGGCCCAGGTGTGCATCCGAGATCGGCGGGGACCTATTGGCAGCATCCAAAAGGATGTCTTGGGCACTTGGGGTTGCCGTGGATGTTACAGGAATCGTACATGCAGTAACCATTCAATTTCGGTTTCCTTATGGTGGCTTCCTGAGGCCATTTGGAGGCCTGTCGGGCCATCTTGTGAAGTCTTGGGGATTTTTGGAGTCATTATGATGGGTCTGTGTGCCGCCTTGGGCATGGTTTCCCAGATTGCGTCGAAAAGCGCCGCAGATAGGAAAACGGAGGCGGTCACAGCGGTAGGCATCCCGAATCTAGAATGCTTTGGAGCCGGGTGGAGGATTGAAGGGCAGACCCAACCCAGGGTAGTGCGGATGGTGGGCTCGAATCACCTGCTGGTGGGATGTCTTTCGTCATTTTTGATGAGCTCCTTTAGTGGGAGGCTTGACGAGTCCCCCCATAGAAGCCTGCGTGAGAATACACCCCTGACTGTTCCTGAAAATCTACACAGTGCTGTTCAGGCTTGCACAGCCAGCTCGCTGTCATTACCACGCGGTCTCCTCAGTCCTCCAGTTATCTTTATCCTCTCCTCGGCTGTCCTTTGTCTTTTTTTAGTTTGTCTTACTGTATTCGGATCTTTTCCTTTTACCAGGCTTCTCCTTTCCTGCCCTTTTTACTTGTGTGTCTCATATCAGGCTTTGCCGAAGGGGTCCGCACTTCCTTTGCGTGATATGACAGGTGGCAATCACGGTCGTAGTCGCGTTACTTCAGGATGTCGGCCCAGTTCGTTAATGATACCCACTTTGTTCCTCGTGGAACCCTGTTTCGTGCTTCCACTTTGCTTTTGATTGATTTTTGTTTGCCTTCAGCTTGTGTTTCAGCTTGTCTTTGGCTTGTGTGACCTCGCCTTCGACTTGCCATCAGGTTGCGCTGTTACAGCCTGCGTGTTTCCCTTGCGTTTGCTTGCTTCCCACGAGCTACTCACCTGCCTTTCGCTTGCTTTTGTTCACCTCAAGCATATCAAGCCCATCTTGCCTTCAGCTCGCCTTTAACATGGCTTTGGCTCGGTTTGAGAGTGCCTTTTCGCTTGCCCGCAGCTTGCCGTGAAACTTGGCTGCAGCTTCTCTCTCGCCTACATGTAGCCAGCCTTGTACTTGCGTTTAGTATGACGTTACTTTACATGTTGGCTCACCCTTATATTCAGAGACGTGTTTCAGCTCGCCTTCAGCTGATATGCCTGTTTTCTCAGCGGGTTTCCTTGAGCTTGCCTTTTGCTTCTTCAGCAGCCTGTCAAATTTGCTTTCAGCTCGCATGTGTGTTGCCTTGATCGGCTTGATTGTATCTTTCCTCGGGTCTCTCGTATTTGGGGTCGCGCTGGGATCATGCTATCGTTCTTGATGATTTGCCCACTGCTATTCCATTCCTTCATCCTTTGGCACCCTGCGCACCGTCCGTCGCAGCAGCGCAGGGTTTTGGCTGCTGGCCAGCATATATCGGTCTATTATTCGCCGTCCCCCTGGGCAAGGCTTCTGGGAAGCATGCCCAAGGAGACTTTGCAATCCTTCTGCGTTGTTAGCTTCCCGTGTTGTTACTGAGCTATCGTGTGGGTTTCATCGAGTGTTCGATGTCATGACGCGCGCATTTGCGAATCCATTTGTTATTTGGTCACCCTGTGCCTTCGTACATATTGGTTGTGCTTCTAACTGGTCGTGTACCACTGATGTTGTTTCGCCGTCTTTTCCTATGGACGATGCATGTATGTGTTTGTGAATGTGCGAGGCACGCGGACTTCTTTAGCAGGGGTAGACGTGATGGTCTTCAGTTGGGTGGCCATTCCTCGCTATTTTCATGCGAGGGCCGAAATAAACGACGAACTTGCTTGCGTGCTGCAGGGGCGTCCCTCGTCGATATGGCTATCATACCTCGCAACATGTGGAATTGCTTTGGAGTCCAAGTGTGCGAATCCGAGGCCGAACCGACCCGACGGGCGTCCGTAAGTCCATGGCGTCCTGGTTGCTAGGCCGTCATGCGTTCATTCGAAAACTTTCCCGAATGTCGAAGTGCATGACAGCTCTCGTGGCTAGAGCGAAGACGACTGACTTGTGACACGCTCTTATGCAGTCTAGAGAAAGCCATAATCGATATACTTGTTTGCCCTAGATACCATTCTCCAGATCCGCTTGCTTTCGCCGGTGAACGCCGAAGCATGCGACTGTTGTCTTTTCCTGTGGCATTGATAGCAGTTTTTTTGGGGGTGCCTCCCACGACCCTGCGGGAATTATTCTTCTTATCTCTTTTCGGCCTCTTCGGAGCCTGCTGGGGGTCTTCGGGCCATCTCGGATGGTCTTGAGGCCGTCTGGGGGATCTTGGGGCAATCTTTGAGGATTCTGATGCCAGTTCTGAGCCGCTTTGGGGTCGTCTCTCGGCCATCTCGCGCCGTCTTGGGGCGCACCGCGTCGTTTCGGGTCAATTTTGTGGCTGCTTGAGGCTTCTCGAGGGCCGCTTCGGGAGTCTCGGGGATTTCTGGGGGCGTCTTGTGGCCTCTGAGGGCTCAAAAAGACAGACAGCGCGTGACGAGTACATTGCTTTTCGATGCTTCTAGCCTCTCAGGGGCCTCCCGGATTGCCTCTCAGCGCCTCCTGGGTCTTCTTGAGGGCTGCCGGGTCCCTCTTGAGGCCATCCTGGGATGTCTGCGCGGCCTTTGCGGCCTCCCTGGGCCGTCGCGGCAGCGTCCCTGGGCACGTGCAGTGCCTGAGAGAGACTGCTGGGATGGCGGGAGGACGCCCAGAGGGCCTCCGGAGAGGAGGGTTGGTGTGCGCAGGCCTCAGCTGGAAGCTGGAGGGGGGGGGTGCTGGAACACTACTCTGGGTTTCTTCACAAGCGCGGGGGGGAACCCCCTTGTGGACGGGGGTCAACCTCGCTTCGTCGTCGCGCCGCGACGGGGGTCGGAGCGCCTTTGGCGCGCGGTGGCTGCCCGCGACGGGGGTCGATGCGGGGCTGTCGGCGGGGGTGACGCCCCCCCGACGCTTATTGAGAGACTTGGAGCACGAGTTCAGCCCGGCTGCGCAGGCATTACATCATGTTCTTTTGGGCCAGGGGCACAATGGCCGATCGGTGTCTGCACGCTCGAAGACATCTTCCGCAGAGGAGGGATAACAAAGCTCGAGAGTGGCTGGGACAGGAGACCGGCACCATCACAGCCTGGAACATGGCACGGCCTGGGAAGAAGAATGCCGAGGCACTCAGCTTTGTCTGCAGATCGAACATGTACTCCGACATGTGCGGCAACTCTCACCATTTGCATTGTTTCGTTCAATTCCTCGTCTCCGTATTCTCCGGATTTCGCAAGCTTGCTCGCTCGTGCCGATGGACTGTATGGAATGCTTCGTTTTCTACTTTAGAGTGTTTTGGTGACTGCTACGGCTGGGCAAGGAGGACTTTTGTTTATGTTGGCAATGCATCATTCGGCCTCATTCTCGCATATCGACAACCGTCATGCTCTGTTCGTAGTATCGCGCAGCATGTAGCGACATCCTCCACCTTCCAGCATGCATGACCACCTGGTCTGGCAATTGTCTACGATCGTATTTAGTTGCATCTGGTCCATCCTGCGGGCCTCTGGGGAATCTCCAGGAAGTCTCTTGCGGTGCCTTGGGGTTGTCTTGAGCGGGAAAGGTCCTAAGCACCTGGCCTCGCGCACCCTCTGAGGTCCAATTTTGGGACTCGGGAGGCTCAGAAGGCACACCCTGCGAGCGCCCAGTCATTTGGTGAAAATCGGAGGTCGGGGCCCTTACGAACTGTACACGCCCAGCAGTCGTAGCAGTGCGAACCTTGCGGCACTCCGCAGCGCTCTGGTGGATTCTTCCTTTGATCAAACGTATGCCACTGTGGCGTCTCTTCGATTGCCGCTGTCTCTTGTTGACGAGGGCTACGGGTTCGTCTCTGTCGATGGCCAGGAGGACGCGTTCGCTTTGTTGATATGTGGCGCAAGCCGTGATTCTCTTCTTCCAGCCTTGTGCAATTTCCGCTACGGGACTATCGCTGTCTCCCACTTTCTGCCTTTTCTGTCCCACTCTGCTGTTGCTGTTTCTTCGTCCAAGCCTTCGTTGAGTCATGATTCTATACGCTTCGCTTAGCCCCACCAGCTCATCCAGAAACAATGCCCAGACGAATTGCCCTGATCAGGGATGTGGAGGAGCATGCAGTGGAATGACGGGCTGGGGAAGTCGTCATACCCCAAGAGGGGGAGGATGGAAGAGGAATCGGAGGAGGAGGAGGAGGAGGAGGAGGAGGAGGAGGAGGAGGAGGAGGAGGAGGAGGAGGAGGAGGAGGAGAGGGGGGAGCGGGAGAGGGGAATGGGAGGAACAGGCGCAGGAGGAGAAGGAGGAGGGGGAGGAGGAGGAGGAGGAGGAGGAGGAGGAGGATGAGGGCGAGCAGAGTGGCCAGAGGCCTCCTGGGTGCTTCTCGGAGTCTCTTCGGATGCTTTTTGAAAGCTTCTGTGAGTCCTCTTGGAGTGTCTTGGGGGCCTCTTCGAGCGTCTTGGGTGCCTCAGGGGAGCCTCTTGGGGCCTCTTAGGGGGTATCTTGCGAGCCTCTGGGGGACCTCTTGGGGTCCTTTTGGGGCCTCTGGGGACCTCCTGGGTGCCTCTTGGGGCCCTTTTGGGGCACTCTGGCAGGCTTCGGGGGCCATCTTGGGGCCATCTTGGAGGAGGTCGATCAAAGAAGGGGGGGTAGTAAATTACAGTCCCCTCCCTCCATGAGGCCCAACTCGGCCCAAATCCTAAGGGAAAGTAATTCTTTTTGCTTTCTCGCCGAGACCATCTTGGATGCTCGAATGAGTCGCGGAATAAACCACGCGAGCCCTCCGCCGACTCCGGCAGCGGCAGGACGCCCAAGGGTAACGACGACGGCCAGCCACGGCTTTCCCCGCACCGACGATCGCCCTTTCGCCCGCATCGCCCAAACTTCCATCGTCGATCTATCGAAGGACGACCTCGTGGTGGTGGCGCACGCTTGGGTGCAACTGGGCTACAGTCAGGCCCAACTCTGGCGTGATGATCTCGGGCGCGCACCGGCCAAGAACGGGGACCCTGCGAAGTACAACGTCGCCTTCCTACGGCGCCTTCTCTCCCGCGCCTATGGATACAACGTGCAAGCCCACGCAGGGCGCCGGTAAGCCCGCCACGCACGTACCCGCTTCTGGGCAACACAACGGGTACGTGGCGGCTAGTGCTTTCTCTCCCGCCACTCTGGTACAGCGCGTCGGCAACACACGCCAGTCTATGTGTGGGCAGGACGTGTCGAGAGAATTTTTGTAGCACCTCAATCTTGGCAAGACCGTCGTCCATACCGATCAGAAGCTTACCGCGCCTGGCCTCCTCAGCGGGGTGCGCCTCCTGGGTCGCCCAGGGTCTTGTGCGGTTGGCGCAGCATGGATCCCGCCACCAAGAGGGGCGTCGCTCTCACCCACACCAGACGCCGTGGTACTCACTCTTGCATTCCCCAGTTCGGGCGACGAGATCTGTACATGTCCACAGCTCCCTGGGCCGGCCCGTCCTGAACCCAGGAGCTGTGTATACGTCCTCCTGGCTTGGTCAGGAGGGCTTGGCGTAACTATACACCCCTGGTTGACCCCAAAAGGGGTCCAGCTGAAAGGGGGTGGTGCAATAGATTTGGTGCAGTGAATCGGTGGAGGTTCAATCGACTTGGGGCGTGCAATGGATTCCCGTGCGCAAATGTATAGCTGAATTTTCGCGTCCAATGCATAAGCTACAATACAATGCAGTACAAGTCCCTGGCGCAATACACTTGCAATACTATTGCCCCACATCTATTGCACCACCCCCTTTCAGCTGCACCCCCTTGTGGGTCAACCAACACGCCGCTGCCAGGTTCAGGATGGGCCTGGCCAGGGAGCAGTGGACATGTACGGATTTCGTCGCCCTGCCACTGGGGCGGGGCGCCCACCAGCCATGCCCTCCCCCCCTTTGAGGGCGCGAGGGCGCAGCGGCGGGCGGCCCCCCTGAGCCTCGTGCCCGCCGCCTCGGCGGCGGGGCTGAGCGGCCGAGGGCATATCCCTCCCGCTTCTTTGTCGGCGGCCAGCGATGGGGGGGAGGTGAGAAAAGGGAAGGCCTTCTCAGAAGGCGGCGGGGCTTCTCAGAAGCCCTCGCGCCTCCTGAGAGGTTGCCAGTGTCTGCGGGGAAGGCCCAGAAAGCTCCTCAGGAGGCCGGTGGACTTCCGAGCCTCCCGAGGAGGCCTTCTTCTTCTTCTTCTTCTTCTTCTCACTCCGACCTCCGTGGGCCGCCTGACCCTGCTTGCGACCGGCCCGCCTATGTGTGTGTGTGGCCACTTCTGCTCTTCTGCTTGGTATCGCTCGGACGTGTGCACTTTTTCTCGGCGGGGATTATTGAGGAGCATCCTGGATCATCCTGCGGAAAAACCACGCACGAATCCGAACAAAAAACACAGGGAATGAACGTCCGAGCGATGGCCAGTCTGGGCGCTGGCTCTCCCCCGCCCCGTGATCAGCAGCTCTCCCTGGTGGCCTCGGCTCGCCGCACAGCGCAGACCGCACCGCCGGGCTCCCCGCCCCCGCGGCGCGCTCCCCGACCCCGGCGCCCCGGCGCCGCGCCTGGCGACTGCCCCGTGATGGGTCGGCCGTTTCCGTCTTTGACGACTCGACGCGCGCGCAGGCCCTGGGCTTGTGCGACGCGTCTGGTGGTGTGACGAGTCGCCCACCCGCGGCGACAGCAAAGTGTTTGTGTGAGTGTGTGTGTGTTTTTGTTTGTTTGTTCGTTTTTGTGTGTGTGTGTGTGTGTGTGTGTGTGTGTGTGTGTGTGTGTGTGTGTGTGCGTGTGTTTGTTTGTTCGTGTGTGCGGTTGTGGCTCTGTCTTTCTTTCCCCTTGCATGCCTATGTCGTGCAGGGCCCCCGCCCCCCTTTTTACCTGCAGGTGCCGCCTCTCGGATGGCTCCCGATCGGTTGTGTTCGGTGGTAGTGAGTCTTTCCAGCACGTCCCGCTATTGCCACCGCTTCGTTGGACCATCTGGTCGCGAAACTGACCAAGTGTGTGCGTGTGTGTTGTGTGTGAATGTGTGTGTGTGCGCGTGTGTGTGTGTGTGTGTGCCTGTGTGTGTGTGCCTTTGTGTGTGTGTGTGTGTGTGTGTGTGTGGTAAGTCCTCTCTTTCGGCCGCGCCCAGCCCTGAGAGTCAGGGGGTTCGTGGCGCTTTCGCGCCACTCCCAGCGTGGGGTGCCCCCCTTGGTCCGTTTACGGAACTGGCAGGGTCAGTTTTCGTGCGGGCATCCGCATTGCTGGTGGCGGTCCTTTTTCCCGTCCGGCCAGTGCGGGTAGTTCCATTGTGCGCATCGGGTTGTGGTACAGCAAATTCGATTTTGCACTCACTACAGCCAACGGGGAATACACCGTGCCGTTTTCCGTGTTGCTCCCTTACGGTCGGGTTGTGGTTTTCATTGGCCACCGTGCACGGTTCGGCTTCCTTTTGCATTGTTTTGCCAGCGCTTCGGCATTTTGAGTGCGCATCCGTTTCTGTGCTTTTCTTTAGGTGGTTGCCCTCATCCAATCTACCAGTGTGCCACGCCAGGTGGAAGTTCGCGTGCGCGTGTCCTGGCTTCACGCTTCGCGACGGTGTCGCAACTTCGCTGTTTGAGGAAAACATGTGTGTTAAGGAACATCTATGCGCGCATACATGGTCAGAAAAGAAAAACTCGCGGTCTCCTACGACCGCAAAGATCGGTCCGTCATGTGACGCCGAAAGCAGCAGCATGGTCATCACGTATTTCGTGGTCTGCATGTATAATGCTTGCCGCACAGGACTCTTCCATCAACAATGTTGTTTGGATTCCAGGCTTCCGCTTTAGTTCGTCCCTTGGCAGGAGTGGGGCCAGTACCACATCGGGCTGCCAGCTTTGAGTTCCCAGATTGACGTCCTCTGGGCGTTCCCAGTGGATCGAATGCACTTGGTCGGGGTGGGGTTCCTTCGGGTGTCTTCCTATAGGTGGGCCTTCGGAGTGTGGGGGGGAAGGAGGGGGCCACGTTCGAGGAGAGACAGTGAATGGGAGAGAGGGGATCCACTCGTCCTTTGGCTACACCTTGGTTTGCCGACAAGGTTTCTGGTGTCAGATTCGGGATTCTCAGTGGCAGCTGTTGCATACCACTGGGTACCAGAGGCTTGATGGTAGTTCTTGTGAGTGTTCATCCGTGCGTTCGAGTTAGCAATCTCGAGACGAAACATGAGAAATTCGCGACGGAACTCAAAACAGGTCAAGGTGACCCGAAACCCCCTTCCATTGCGACCGGCCCTGCGTTCCGTCGCTATCGACATGCGCATTATCTGGACTTCTGTTTGGTGCCGCCGTGCCAAACTTCCTTCCCAGTGGTTATCCGACCTGCCCCGCCCATCCAGGACTCGAAGACGAACAACCTGTTCCTGTGCCGCTCTGCTCCCCGCTTTTGTTGGTTGGCTTCAGAGCAGCGGGGTTCGTGGGATCGCCCGACACGGCTGCGCCCAGCGCCTAAAGAGCGACCGCTTGGCACGCAGCCGGCTTTCGGGTTTACGAGGCGAGTTCTGAGAGTTCGATATTCAAATTATGTCTCTTGTCCTTGCGGGTCGTTCTTTTCTCTTGCCGCTCTCTCTCTCTTTTTTTCTGAGCACATGTATATCAACAAAGTGGTCGTATGCACACATCTGTACGCATGTGTGTATGTGTACATGAATTTATCCAGTGGCCTTCGGGACGAGACCATGGATGAGACTTGAGCCTCGTGGAGGCCTCTGTTTGGGACTCTCGCGGGCCTCTTTGGTCATCCCTCGGGATCTCTTCGGTGCCTCCAGAGGCGTCTTGGGGAGCTGCTGACTGTCTCCTGGGATGTCTCGGGCTGCAGGGCTCCGAATGGCAGCTCGCGTTTCCCCTCTTGGGTGCTTCTGGGAGTCTCCTGGGAGCCTCCTGACGCGGCCATGTGCTTCGACCCCCATTACCAGTCAGGGCCGCCAGGATCTTTCCAAGAGTGGGGCCCGACGAAAGGGGGGGGATAGGGAAAGGAGGGGTTACGAAATCTGCTGCATGCAGCTGGTTTCGGCCTCGCCGCCGGGCCCATTCCTCGATACATGGGCGCCTCCCGGCGCCGGGAAAATCAGCTACGTGAGCTGATTCTCAACCCCCCCTTTGCCATCCCCCCTTTTCGCCCGGCCCGAAAATGGCAGCTCGCGTTTCCCTTCTTGGGTGCTTCTGGGAGTCTCCTGGGAGCCTCCTGACGCGGTCATGTGCTTCGACCCACATGACCAGTCAGGGCCCCCCAGGATCTTTCCAAGGGGGCCCCAAGAAGGTTCCAGATTACCTCACTATGGCCTTCGAGGCAGCCAGAACGCCCAAGATGGCCTTGAGCGGGCCCCAAGTCCCCAAGATGCTTCCAGGACGCCTCCACGGGGCCGCAAGATGCACTCAAGGGGTAAGCGGCTTCCACGAGACCCCCAGAGGTCAAACACTTTGAAAACCATTGGGGCATCTTACGTTTTTCAAGATGTCGACTTTTCGCTTCCGAGGGGCATCAGAGGCCTTAGAAGGAGCCCTGATATGGCCCAAGGGAGCTCCAAGAGGAATCCCAGCGGGCCCCAAGACAGCACTAAAAGGGTCCCAGGGCTGCTCAAGAGAATTCGAAGAGCGCCCCAAGACGGTCAAGAGAGTCCCCCAAGATGGCCTCCGAGGGCGTCAGACGGGCCACGCGTGCCCTAAGACAGCCCAAGAAATCGCCAAGAAGGTCCAAAAGGCCCCCAAGAGACTCGCACGAGGTTTCGAAACTGCCTCCAAGGGGCCCCCGATAAGTGATTACGCGACGACGTCGAGACGGCAAAGACGTGTCGAAAACGCTTCCAGATGCAGCGCGTACAGTGGAGGCCCATGCCAAGAAACACCCTGCTTGCCTCCAGGGTGCCCTGGGTTTCTTGGATTTCGATGGTTTTGCGATGGAAAGCGCGACATTCCCACATCAAAATAAATGGACGTTCGATTCGACAAATATTGTAGTTCCTTTCTCTCTGTCTCTCTGTCTACTTATCCTTCTCTATTCTCTCTGCGCTCTGCGCTCTCGCAATATGCTCTTTACTCTCTTCAATTTTCGTTCTCTTTTCGATCTGATCTTCTTGCTCTCCGCCCCCCTCTCACTCTTCTGAAGTTGCTGTCCGCATTCCGCCTTCCGTTCTGTCCAATCTCTGTTCTCTGCTCTCTGCGTTCCGCTCTCTTCTATTGTCTCTCTGCTCTCTCTCTCTCTCTCCCTCTTCTTCTTTCCCACTCTGTTCGTTTTACTCTCGTTCCCTCCTCTTGCTGTTTCTCTCGCTCTGTCTACCTCCGTATTTCTATCTTGCCCACGGTGACCTCCTGTGAGGTATGCTGACAACATCAAGGATTCCAAGCTGCGGAGTGAGGTCGCTCCATCCCTCGCCGTGTTTGAGTACGCTCGACTTCGTATGTAATATCGCAGTCTAGCCAAGACGGTGAGTTCAGATACGAGAAGTCCTTATGTGTCGCGAGGCAACCTCTAAGGACAAACAATTTGTCGTTTCACTGATTTTGTATCGCAAGTGCCTTGTTTCGATATGCACGTTTTGCTCTTCAACCTCTCCCTCCCTCCTCTCCGCGTGGATGCTCGCGTGGCTCTCTCCACGTCCCTTGCAAGCCTCGCACGCCTCCGCTGGCACCATAGCGTCGTCTTGGGCCGAGCAGCAGGCGAGGGAGGTGGCAGGAAAGGAAGGGGAGCAGACCGCAGCGACAACAGCAGCAGGCGAGGGCAGAGCGCTGCGGCGAGACCAAAAGGGAGCAGCTCGGTATATGCCTAGCAACTTTACTGCTGTGACGTGGGGCCGCAGGCCAAGATCTTCGGCTTGAAGCAAGGCCTCCCACCGCTCTTGCTCACTCTCTGGCGTGCCTCGTGATCCTGGCGCCACCACTGACTGGGCCCAGGGCTGGACCCAAACGGTGTTTTTGGTGATCTCGTGGGCTGTTTTCGTTTCGACTTCGTTTTGCGGCAAAGGCGTATTCGAGACAAAAGCGAGGGACAACGAAAACAAGACGAAAACGGAAAACACCGTTTACGTCCAGCCCTGGACTGGGGTATTTTTTCTCAGCTCTCCCTTGTTGTTCGGTCCGCGTTCTTGTCTCGATAGCGCTGGGCCCCACCGTCTCCTCACCTCCTGCCTCTCCCCGGGCCCTCCCCCTCCGCCTGTCTGTTTCGCCTATGCTGTCGGGTCCTCATTTTCTCCTCCGCATCGCCGCACGTTCCACCTCGCCTTCTCGCCCCCTCCCTCCTCTCTGCCGCTGCTTCTGCGCTGCCTGTTGCACGCTGCTGTCGGTGCTGCTGTTGCGCTGCCAGCCGAACAAAACATCAGCACACCCCTCAGGCGGATCGTGTACCAAAAGGAGCTCCAGCTGCGGCTCCAGTGGGCGCGTCCTTATATTCTGTCACCTCCCGATTCGGCACACCCCTCACAAGGATCGGGCCCCACAGGTAGCTCCAACTACGCTTTTAGTGGGCGCGTCATGCGTTGCCCCGCTCAATTCGGCGCACCCCGCACTCGTATCGTGCCCCGCGGGGACCTCCACCTGCGGTCCAGCTGCTACAGCCCAATTCGCACATCCCTCCAGTGGGTGCGTACACATGCGCTTCCTCAAGAGAATCGTGCCCCACAGTTAGTTCGACCTATGGCGTCCGCCGGCGCTGCCGCAGCCCAATTCGGCACATCCCACAGGAAGCTCCGGCTACGGTTCCAGTGGGCGCGTTCGCATTCTCTGCCACAGCCCAATTTGGCGCACTCCTCACGCGGATCGAGCACCACAGGGAGCTCCTACGGTCCCAGAGAGCGCGCTTGCATACATTACAACCACCCAAGCCTCCGGCACACCTCTCGCGCGTATCGTACTTCACAGGGATCTCCACGCATGACCCGAGCGACGGAGCTCGCACGTGTTACCGCCGCCCACCCTCACGCGGACCTTGCCTGACATGGAGCCCCGCGGTCTCAGTGGGCGCGTCCGCATGCGTTGCCACCGTCCAAGTCGACATACCCCGCACGTGAGTCGTGTCCCAGAAGTAGCTCCATCTACGCTTCGAGTGGGCGCGTCCGCATGCGCTGCCACCACTCACGTTGGCACACCTCTCACGCGGATTGTGCCCCACATTGAGCTCTATTTACGCTTCTAGCGGACGCGCCCTCATGCGCCATCACCATTCAAACATTCGGCACATGCTGACGCAGATCGTGCCCCACATGGAGCTCCACCTACGGTCTCAGTGGGCGCGTCCGCATTCGCTGCCATCACCCGGCTCGGCACGCCTCTGACGCGGATCTTGCCCCATAGGGAGCTCATCGTGTCTCTGCATGCATGCTCTGCAGCCCTCTATCCGCACTGCCCCGCGAGCATCACTATGAAGAGAGTCGGTGGCCACATGCGAGCCCTACCCCACCACCCCACGATCTCTAAGGGGGGTGGTGGGGTAGGGTTCGCATGCGGCCTCCTGGAGAGCCCCCCCCCCCACCCTGCACTGCACGAAGCTGCACTGGGTTCGGCCCTTGATCATTTTTCCTTTGTTCCGTGGGGTGGGGGTGGAGGGGCGAAGGCTTGTGGAGCACCCCTTTCGAGTGCGACGGTCGACGTCTCTTGCCAGGTCTGACGAGGTTACGTGTATGTTGCACCCGACCGAAGCTCTTTTTGTGCCTCGCATGTGCAAGATTCTCGTGCGTGCTCCTCGCAGTTTCTCTTGTCCACTCTATTGTGGAGACCCATGCCAAGAAACACCCTGCTTGCCTCCAGGGTGCCCTGGGTTTCTTGGGTTCTGATGGTTTTGCTATGGAGGGCGTGACGGTCCCACACCAAATCAAGGGACTTCCTTGGGTCTCAGGGTTGGGTTTCTTGTGAAAGGGTTCTTGTGGTCGGGCTCCTACTGTAGTACATTGTGGTCGGGTGGCGCAAGGCTTCTGTCGCTGCTTCACGTAGTGTGCGCTGTCCTTGTCGGTGCTTCTCAATTTTGCTTGGGATGGGATGCGCTGTGGTTGCCTGTCAGGTCAGCGCATCACCTTCAGAATCGAGGACACCGGCAAGAGGGACACATACATATTTGGGCAATCTATCGCCCTGGACTTGCACGTGATAAGAAGCTCGACACAGCAATACCTCATGAGGCTCAGTACAACTTTTCCAAGAGTTGATGCGTTTTCATTCTGAGTCCTAACATTGCAAGACCAGTGCGAATTAACACCTCGCCTCATGGAGCTAGTGTGCAGGGGAGGGGAGGCGAGGCATGGATGGTGGCCATGAACTATGAACTGAGCACTCCCCTGCGATCTGACCTCGATTTCCTGTCGCCAATCCGCAATTCGGCTTGGCCGCGCGGGACCTCTGCAAGCATACAACCGCATTGGGGCTAGCTTCACGTGTGCCAGCAGAGGAGGAACAGCAGCAGGAGGGGGAGTATGATAAGGGATTGAAATCCTCGTCGCAGACATTTAGTAGGAAGCCTTTCGGCACGAGTTCATTGCAAGCCCTTGGCACCCCCTCGGCAAGAATCTCTTCACGGCGCTTCGCGACCACCGATCGCAGTTCTCATGGACGCATCTGCAGAAGGCGACCCGAGAGCAGTCTCCGAACTGACCGCATGTCAGCCCTGAAGTTGCTCGAAATCCGACCAAGCTTCGGCCGGTGGCGTGCTCCACCGCCGTAGCGGACAGCTTGCCTCCGTGTGGGCCGCTGGCGTCGTGGGCCGCTCTTCTCGCGGTGGCGTGGGGCCTCAACCGTCGTCCCGCCTCGCGCCTCGTGCTCTCGTGAGCTCTGGGCCTTCGTGCGCGCACAGGCCCTGCGCGCACCCGCCTCTGCCTCTGGCCGCAGGGCCCGCTTGGGCCCGGTGAGCCCTGGGCCTCGGTGCTACCGGCCAGGTAGCCGGGGAAGCCCAAAGGTACCGATACCGCTACTCCCTGGACCTCTCCTGGGGTGCGTTCTGACCAGAATTTCGGGGCGAATCCAGCGGTGGCGACGAGGGCCTCCGAGGAGGCCCCAAAAGGGGCTAACGGGCGAAGGGTAGAGATATGGGTACCTTTTCCTCCTCTGAGCAGCACCGCCCTGTCTGCCGCTGTGGGCTGTGGGCTTGGCGCGCGTGCCTCGTCCCTCGGCCTGTCGCGTCCCTGGCCGCACGGCGTGCGCCCACGGCCTCGGTGGCCTGTCGCCTCGGCTCGTGCGTCCGCTCTTGCTGCCTCCCCCTGCGCGCTCGGCCGGCCCGCCCCTTGCAGGACACGCAGCGCGGCCAGCTCCCGTCGGTGGCAAATCATGGGAGCCTGGTGTACCTGTCTAGTTCCGTCTTCAGCGTCGATCCGCGTCGATTAGCGTTTGGGAGTCGATGTGATAGCGCCGATTTTTTGCGTCGGTGAGCGTCGATTAGCGTCGATTGAGCGCCGATGAGCGTCGACTAGCGTCGATTAGCGTCGATTCACAAGCGCCGACAACATGGTATGGGAGGCTCCCATGGAGTTGCCACCGACGGCTCCCGTCCCGCTGTCGCCCCTGGGGGCACGGCGGGTCCACCAGCCCCCCACGGCCCTTGGGGGGCCCTTCCCTGCTCCTCCTCCTCCTCCTCCTCCTCCTCCTCCTCCTCCTCCTCCTCCTCCTCCTCCTCCTCCCCTCCTCCTCCTCCCCTCCTCCCCCTCATCCTCCTCCTCCTCTTCCCCCCCTCGCCTGCCCCGCCTGCGTCCGCGGCGGGCGTCCTTCGCCCCGCGTGGAGTGGCCCGTCGGGTCTCTGCCCGTGCGGCGTTCCGGCTCCTGCCCCGGTGTGCCGTCCGCGGCACCCGCGCTCGGCTGTGCTGCGATTCTTTGCGCCAGCTGGGTCTACACCTTAGGCGATGCTTAAGAAAACTGAAGTTTTCGGCCAGAGTCTCGATTATTCTTAACGTTTCAATGTAAATCTTAAGATTTTAATAGAAATGATGGTTTTTATTAAGTTCTGAGACTATGAATTTCGTAAACCATGATTTCTTAAGCATGTCGCAGGGTCTACACTCTCGACTCCAGAACGCTTTTTCGACACCCCCGTCGTAGTGCGGCCTCTTCCTCCGTGTCAGTGCGATGCCCGAGGCCAAGCTGTCTCATGAAGAGGATCGGTCTTGCCCATGCTGCAGGGCTTTGGTCCCAGCGCCCTCGTCGGGCTTCAGCCACACTCGTGCGTCTGAGTCGGCTGGCTGTTGCTGGCGCGCCGCCGCGTGGTGCCGCCTCTCTTGAAGGTGTCGGTCTTCGTGCCGTCCACTGGTGCGCGGGCGTGCCGTTTCAGAGTTAGCACGGCCTTTTGCAGGTGCCTCTGCAGAGGTCAGCCGCTCCTGTTGGCCTTCAGCTCCGGCCATTTTTCCCTCGCAGCTGGGCCATCCCGCCACCTGTGTCGCTATGTGGCGCTGCCGCTGCTGTTCTGCATGTGCATGCTCTTGTCCCTGCATGGCTTTCAGCTCCCTTCTTTACTGTAACTGTCAGCCGCTCGTCGGTTTGGCCATCCATCGGCACACGCTCGGTGGTGATTCTTGCACTAGCGCGTCTCGCTTTTGCCTTCGCTGTGTCGGACCAGCCGGCCGCGAAACCAACAAGTGTTTGTTTTTGTGCGTGTGTGTTTGTGTGTGTGTGTGCTGTGCGCGTGTGCGACGGCCAGAATCAAAACACGGAACTGATCATGTAGTTACCCGCCGACTCCCCAAGCATCCGGCGTGACTGCAGCATCTGTTTCCACTAGGGATCACCAGTGGTGGTCTATGCTTGAGTGTCGTGGAGGGTATCGCTTCCCATATCGTAGCGCCTTACGTAGAAAATATGACCCGAATGCTTGCTGCCAGCTTATCATTGGCTCAGGCAGCGTCGCCTGCCTCTGCCTTCAGCCGTTCGCTGAATTGACTCGTTGGTGTACTCGAACATCCCAGGGCCAGGTCCAGTTGGGAAGCGCGCAAGAAAAAGGGGGAGCGGAGGAGGAGGAGAGGCATGATGAGGTCAACCTGCGGCGCCATTCACTCTCGCGTGCAAACTTACTGTCCAGCGTGGTTGTGCACTCATCGATTCCCTGGGACCAACAGCCGACAACATTCAGCGCGCAGCGATCCTACCGCCATGAATGATCTGCAGCGTGCACCATGCCTGTGTGCGGCAACGACCTTCGGTTCGTATGAGGTGTGCGTTGGTCCCATTGACGCTCCCGCCTCGTGCTCCCTTGGCCTGGTGTCCGTTGATGCGCTTGGCGGTGGTCAGGAGGCGAAGAGCGCACGCCAGAGCGCCTTGGCAGTGGACGCCTCCTCTCTTTGTGCTTTGTGCTTTGTGTGTGCTGTGTGCGGACAGTGGCTCCATTTGACTTGATGGCAGTCTTCTTTGGTGCGCGTCTCCAGTTCTCGTTTGACTACACGGAGTCTTGCGCCACCAGGGTGGGACGTTCCTTCAGTATGCCGTGCGGTCCTATGGGGGGTTTCCTCAATGGATTTGTAAGAGTGCATTGGGGACGCTTGTTGCCATTCACCACGACCCCGCTGCTAATCAGTATTGGCCCTGGTTAGGTTCAGATCGGATTCTTCAGATTCACGTTCGTCTCGGGGCTGTCGGTAGCTCCTTCTGGCCAGCCTCGAATACACGATGTCAGTTCATGGTGCATCGGTCAACAAGGGTATATGTTTTTTCCTGCGCGTCGTCTGCGGACAGAAATGCCTCAGGGTGAGTTGGCAATGTGACGTTCCTGGGTTGGCGCAGGGCGGTCGAAGCCTAACCGAGTCCGAATAGCAGGGGTGCGTTTTCATCAAAGAGCTTGAGCTTTCAGGGCCCTCAGTGTGAAATTTATTGACGCTTCGCGTGTTCCCACCATCCGTTGCAGAAGCGATCCCTGGGCGCGTTGCTTTGCCTGGGGAAGTGCACCAGCAAGGGCTGACACAGGGAGGAGGCGTTGAGGAACAAGAAGGAGGAGCAGAAGAACGAGGAGGAGGACAGCGAGCGGAGGGAATAACGACGTGACGGAAGACGTGCCTTCCCAGTTTCTGATGTTTTCTGGGTCGGAAGACGATGCTATGACGTAGAAGGAGAATGAGGATAGGAGAGCGAGCAGGCATCGACGACGTCGACAGGGGCCAGTCATCAAGGCGTTCGCGTGGCTTTCACTGTGGGAGCGACTTAGATGCGTCTAGGAAGCATCCTGGACGCTTTCGGGACCATGTTGGGATCTCCGGAGCCCTCTTGGGGCTCTCTCGGGGGCCCTGGGAGCCCTCTTGGGGCCATCATGGAGGACGTCGGGCAAGCAAGCAGGCGGCGCTTATTGCACTCCCCCGTCGAAGCTGGACACATCGCCTCTTGCAGCCCTCTTGGGGCGCTCTCGGGTCCCTTCTGGGGCCTTCCCGGGCCCTTCCTGGAGCTGTCTTGGACGGTCTTGGGGCCATCGTGAGGTCCATACGCCCATCGAAAGTGAGAAGGCGATACTGCGATCATCACTGGTTTGTTCTTTTTGTTCTGCAGGATGTTGGCCTCTCAGGGGTGTTGTCCTTGGAGGCTCCGTGCCCACTTGGAGCCGTCTCGTGTCGGTCGAGAGGTCTCGTCGGGGCATGTTAGAACCTGCCTTGAAACATCTTGGGCCTTTTTTCCGAGGCGGGAATTGATCCGTATCCACCGCCTGGAGGGTCAGTTTTCGGAGCCTCGGCAGGCGGTGGATATGGACATATTCGGGCCCCCGGGAGCCGAAATATATCCATATCCACCGCCCGCTGGGGCAACCAGGACGTCGGTTCCAAGGCGGTGGATATGGATAAATCCTCGCCTCGCATTCTTGTGCCATCTTGGAGGCCATTTTGGGCGCTCTGGCGCCCTCTTGTGATATTATTGGGCCTTCTTGAACGCTCTAAAACCTGGACTCTCCCTTCCGTCCAGACCCGCGGGAGGGGGGGGGGGCAGGTAGAGGTGTCAAGCTACCCCAAGCCGCAAGCCGTGTCGCTCACTCCTGCCCGCCCTCCCGCTACATAAGTAGCAACCGAGCCTCAGCACAGACAGGGGCCGGCATCGAAAACCATCGGGAAGCCATGCAGACGCCAGTCAGGTGCGCGATGCCCGCGGGGTGCGCCGCACGTGCCAGGTGCCACATTGGGCAACATGTCGACCGCCCCATAAGCCCTGTCAAAAGCCACTTCAGAATGACCTCGGGTTTGCGAGCATCTCATGTTGCAGGGGGGTGTCGCCGAGCGCGTTCCTCAACTCGCAAAGTGCCTACTCGCAAACGCCCGAAGAGCACATCTCGGCTTCGATGTAATTCATCGGAGATCCCCCGCGGCGGATCCAGGCCACTTGGGAGCAGCCACCGTGCGAGCAGTGGAACGCGCTTGTCGAGGGCGCGCGCGCGCAGGCACTCGGCCTCTGCTCTTGACGGGGCCGGTGGTCCCCCGCGCGCCCAGGCAGGCAGTAGGCCGCCCCAAACCGCCCTCCCTGGCAGCGTGAGCCTGGTGTTCTGCTGAGCGGGGTGGCGGGCCCGCACGCAGCCAGGCCACACGGCGGGGCTGGGCCTGAGTGGTGTCTTGGCGGTTTCCTGGGCCGTTCTCGTTTCGATTTCGTTCTGCCGTAAGGGTGGATTGAAGACAAAACGAGGGAAAACGGAAACATAACGACAACGAGGGGAAACACCGTTTAGGTTCAGCCCTGCCATACGGTGGAGGCGTTTGTTCAGGAACAGTCCCAGGAGGCGCCAGACCCTGGAGGATTCCTTGTCCAATGAGGGCGGCGGTGATACCCATGGCCACTCCACGATTGGAGTTCCGCGTGCTTCCAGGCCCTGGATTCCTCATCCAATTGTTCCTTATCCAATGCCCTCACCGTATTCTGACCCCACGCTGTCCCTGATCCAGATTCTGGCGCAACGTGCGCTGTGTATGTTTTTTGTCAAGGGGGGTGCTGGCATCGCACGCAGCAGGCAACCTGCCGGCACCCCTGCGAACAACAACGATTCAAAGTGATCGCGGGGCGTCCGCGCATGATCCATATTTTGGTGCAAAGTGCACTTTGAATTTTTTTGACAGGGTTGGCGGGGGGGGGTGTCGGCATGGCCCCGGTTTTGTCGCGGGGAGGGGTGTATACCATTTAGGAGCAGTGATCAAGTTCCAAGCGGAGCGCCACAAGCTGCCGCTCACCCCCATCCGCCCTCCCACCGAAGAAGTGGCACCCAAGCTCCAGCATAGGCAGAGGTTGCCGTCGGACGGACCGCCAGAGCGAATTGGTACCGACGCCACGCGCGCGGCGCTCGCGACGGGGTGCGCCACGCTTGCCGGGAGCGCCACGTGCTCCAGGCTCACCCTGTGACCCTCGGGGGGCCCCCAAACGGGGTGGTGACCACACCGTGTGGTGAGTCGGTGGGGATTCGGAGTCACCGCACGGTCTTGGGACTCGGGTCGTTCTCCGAGGACGTCTCGGGCGACTGGGGCATCCGGGGTCCCAAAACCGTGCGTTGACGGACCGTGCGGTGAGGTCTTGGGGATTTCGAGGTCACCGCACGGTCGGTCACCGCACCGTTTCGGGACTCCAAAGACCCAGGGGCCCGAGCGTGCCAGGCGCGCCTGATGCGCCAGATGCGCCGCTCGCACACTAAAGTTGCCACATGCTCCAGCCGCGCTAGGTGCGCGACGCGCGCAGGGCGCGCCAGGCGGCGACAGGTTCGCCCGTGCATTTGACTCGACGAGCGCGTTCTTTTATTTGTAAAGTAACTACTCGCAAGTGGCCTGGATCCCCCACAGGGGATCTACGATAAGTTACATCAAAGCAGACATGTGTTTTTGAGACGTTGGCGAGTAGGCACTTTGCGAGTAGTGGAACGCGCTCGGCGATTGACAGCACACATTGGGTAGACCCCAACCATCCCTGTTAGCCAACGCAATGTGGCGGCGGGTTGGTCAGCATGGTCCTATGGTGCGTGCACCTGTCTGGACAAACGCGATCACACCTCGGCCATCCCTGCCACCAGCACGCATGCACATTGATCTCGTGGTGCCCGCTTGTGATCCAGTTGTTGCCGCCACCTCCGCTTTGTTCGGTTTTTGGCAGCGATGGTGTGGCGGGTCGCCCGCATGGTTTCTGGTTGGCGGCAGGCCGAATCGGGGAGGGGGTGCTTCTCATACGGAGCAGTGGACCCTCATCCCCCAAGAGGGGATAGTCGGATCATGTATGCGACAGGGGTGCAGCGTGCGTAGTGCTGTGCGTGTGGTACCTTGTATGGTGATACTATGTTCGCGCTGTTATTGATGATGACGATGCAAGCTTTGAATCTTCTTTTTCGATTGTCAATGCCCCATGTGCCCCATTTTCTTGTCTGTCTTGTCTGACTTGTCGCTAACGTCGTGCAGGACGCCGTGCCTCTACGGGATGGTGGTGGAGGAGGCGGAGGCGGAGGCGATTCTGGGCATGTTCATGTGTGCGTGGGGAAAGTCAGAGGTACGCAGGTCGTGACTGGCCTCGCTTGAGCCTGAATGACGGCCAAGCCCCGAGTGGTCGTGTGGAATGCGCAGGTGGGTATTGGAGGCCTAGGGCGCTTATCCTTGTGAGGCTACCCTGTATGGCCAATCGACCTTGGAGTTCCGTCTTTGTGCTGTGCGCGAGTCTTTGGGTCCGTGGTGCAGCGGCAGAAAACATTATTCCCCCCTTGCGCTCCTTTTCTGGCTGGCAGTCAGTAGCGTGGAATATTGGCGCCGTGCCGCATGCTGCCATGCGGTATCGTGGTTTGTTTTGCAACGTCGTCAGGTGTCGCGGCTGTCGTGTGACAACGTGCAGTGTGGTGTGGCCTGACGACGTGTTGTGTCTCTTTGTTGACGTAACCTCCGATGCGAAATTGTGGGAACACGTTTCCGATGATTTTTGGGCACATGGAGGCTCAACCGACACACCCTGGGAGCGCCCAGGAGCTCCGTGAAACGGGGGTTTTGGGCAGTTAAGAATCTCATAAGCCTCTCCCACGCACGGTTGTGTAAGCCTTCGGCCGCTCCATTGCGTGCTCAAGGCACGGTAGCGGAGGTGGCAGCAGCGGAAAGAGGATGCCTCGTGTCGGAGTTGTCTCGTTGCTGGTGGCAGTGGGTCGCAGGAGCAGGTGGACGTGCACGCATGCCAGTTAGAGCGTCAAGGATGGTGATGGGCCGTTGAGCATGAGCTGGCCGAGCAGGAGGCGACACAGGAGGGCGAGGTGCAGGGCTATCCTCTGTGAGGGTCGGTGAGCCGCAGAAGCGGGCAGGCGGCGGCGGCCGCGACCGCAGGCTGTGTCTCCCTTTTGCAGACAGCAGGTTTTCGTGGAGCATTGGAGCATCTGCGTGCCAGGGTGGAGGGAGGAGCGAACTGATTTGCACAGATCATCTGGCGTGAAGGGGGTTACCTGCCTCGCTCTCCCCCTCTTCATGCTTCCCTCTCTGCCCCTGCCGTCCGCTCCAGGTTCTTTCCTCCTGTCCCCTCCTCCTTTCTGGGGCGGGGGGGGGAGGCGTAAAGGAAAAGGGACTTCCCCCTCCTCCTCCTTCTTCTCTGCCTCCTCCTCCTCCTCTTCCTCGTATCCTAATTCTTTTCGTTGACAATGGGTCAGAGCATCCGATCGGGTTGGAATCTTGACATCCTCGCACCGGCTGCTTCCTTGGCACGTTATGCCAGCAGGAATCAGCCTCGGATCTGCAATCGGTTGCTGTACCCCTCGGGAATGCTTTCGCCACGCTACGTGCCACATGTCCGGTGCCACGCTGCGTGCCATTCTACGGCCGTGGGCCGACGCGAGAGCCGTCGGGGGTGGGATGACGCTGCTGCCGGGGCGCTCGCGGGCGGGGCTGCGGCCGGTGTTAGCGCCAGCAAGAGCAGGACCGCCGCATGCGAGGGTGTTCTCGAGGGAAAAATTGTCAGGTGCAGATTTTTCCTTGATCAGTGCTTACCCTAAGTCATCGGGCGGGCCTTTCGGTTTTTTCGGCTGGTGCCCGGCCGGCCGTGGGCGCCTCGTGGGCGCCCCGTACGCTGGTTGGACCTTCTGGGCTCTCGGCTGGTGCCCAGCCGAGGGCGCCTCGTGGGCGCCCGGTGCGCTGTGTAGATTCCTGGGCCTTCGCTCGGTGGCCAGCCGTTGGCGCCTCGTGGGCGCCACGGAGCTTACGCCGCGTAGCTTGCGCCACATAGTTTGCGCCGCGCAGCTTCAACAGTGCAGCTTACGCCGCGTAGCTTGCGTCGCATAACTTACACCACATATCCTACACCGCGTAGTTCGCACTGCACAGCTTGCAGCGCGTGGGTCGCACTACTACATAATTGGCGTCACGTAGTTTGCACCGCGCAGCTTGCACCAGATAGCTTGCATCACATAGCTTGCATCGCGTGCCATGCGCCACATGGTTGGCATCATGCGGCCTACTTACAGGGTGCGGTACCCCACTGTCTGGGGCCCACTATGGCAAATAATTTGTTTGGACAGACAAAGTTATGAAAGATATCCGTATCTGTGTTCATATATGTATGTATGTGTTTAAGCAGTAGCTGTAGGTCAGGACACCATCTAGCGAAGTGGTGTTATTCATTTCACGTGCTCCATGCTGTGTGTTCCTTGCCTTAGGTACAAGTTCATACGGATGTCATTCGCTTCATCCCGCCTTCATCACCTGGTCTTCCAGTGTCCTTCCCTCTACCCTTGTTGCTCTTCCCCTCCCTCCTTCCTCTACCATCTTTGCCGTGCTGCGCCTCCATTTCCCCTCCCTTACCCCGTGGTGCCCATGGAGAGCATCACTACCATTGGCTTTGCCTTCGCGTTTTTTGTGGTTGTTGTTTTGTTCTCTCTCCCTGTCTCTCTCGGTTTGCCCCCCACTCCCTCTCCCCCCCGACACAAGTGCACAATTTCACTAGTACTCTCTTTCCCTCTTTCTCTCTCTCTCTCTCTATTTCTCTCCTCGTCGTTTTCCAGCGTTTTCCATTTCCCTCCGCGTATTCACGCCGAGGAATTATTTAAACTTCGCGTTTCCCCGCGAGGTTATCCAGAATTGATGCCCAGGTGAGTTGCTTTGCAGTGCAACGTGCGGTGACACTTTCGGGATCAAGCCAAACAGGTTCAATAACGGGCATGCCTTGGTACTTGTTCGAAGGACTGGCAGGATGGGGAGGTTGAGGCGGAAAAGGAGGAGGAGGAGGGGGAGGAGGAGAAGGAGGAGGAGGAGTAAGCAGAAAAGGAGGGAGGATGTGGAAGAGGCGGGTAATGAGGACGACGGGGGGGGAGGGCAATCAAAACGAAAATAATTCCTGACGGAGCACTGTCCGATTCGACTCTATACGATCCTTGAGGTGGGAGTGGGATGGGGATGGGAACGATGACGAGGATGCTGATGAGGATGATGCTGATGATGAGGATGAAGATGATGCTGCTGATGCTGCTGATGATTATGAGGATGATGACGATGATGGTCTTTCTGACGCTGCTGCTGCTGGTGATGATGACGATGATGACGATCACGATGCCGATAACAGTGCTTCTGCTGATAATGAAGATGGTGACAATGGTGTGAACGGTGATGATGATAATCATTATGGTGATGGTAAGGATGCTGATGCTGATGCTGATGATGATGCTGATGACGATGACGATGTTGGTGACGACGACACTGAAGATGCTGATGATGCATATGCTGATGCTGATGATGCTGATGCTGCTGATGATGATGATCATGATGCTGATGATGATGCTGAGGACGATTACGATGATGATGCTGCAGAAATTTTTGATGATGCTTATTCTGATGATTCTGACGCTGTTTATGTTGATGATGATGACGATGATGATGAGGATGATGCTGATGCAGATGATGACGACGATTACAATGATGATGGTGATGGTGATGGTGATGGTGATGGTGATAGTGATGGTGGTGGTGATGGTGGTGGTGATCATGATCATTGCTATCTAATGGCCTACGGCCCATCCCTCCTCCGTGCCTGGATTGTGGGTCTGAGGCCTCTTGAGTGTTCGTTCGGATCTTGTTGTAGGCGTCTCGGAGGCCTCTTGGACGCGATTTTGAAGCCTCTTGGGGTCGTTTCGGGGCCTTTTTCGGGTCCCTTGGGGGCCTCTTGGGGCCTCGTGGGGGCCTCTTGGGGCCTCGTGGGGGCTTCTTGGGGCCAAGGGTTCGAAATGTCCGTTCGGGTCCCCCTGTCTGGACACCCTCTTGGAGCTGTCTTGGAGGCTTCTTCGGTCGTCCTGGAGGCCTCTAATACCGCCTTTTGGACCGTCTTGGGGCCGTCTTGGGGGTCTCGTGTACCGTCTTGGATTGTCGGGAAGCCAAAAAAGCGAGAACCCCATCAACCTAAAAACTTGGGAAGAGACCGTTAGTTTTGCCTGTTGGGGCTCTGTCGGGAGCCGTCTCTGGAGACTCGGGGCCCTCGCGGATTGCCTTGGGGGGCCCCTTGGAGCCCTCGTGGCCCGTCTTGGGGCCATCTTGGGGCCATCTTGGGGCCCGAAAAAGTCTTGGAGCCCTTCTGGCCCGTCTTGGGGCCCCATCTTGGGGCCACCTTGGAGCCCTCGTGGCCCGTCTTGGGGGCCGTCTTGGGGGCCCGAAACTCACGACGCCGCCTGGAAGGAAACCCACGGGGGCACGCGCCAAGTCCCGGCGAAACTGGGAATTTGGGGTCCGGACCCCCAGGAGGAGCCCTCAGGATTGAGGACCGAGGCTCGGGGCATTGAGGACCGAGGCTCGGGGGATTGAGGAATTTGGGGTCCGGACCCCTAGGGGGAGCCCTCAGGATTGAGGACCGAGGCTCGGGGGATTGAGGACCGAGGCTCGGGGGATTGAGGAATTTGGGCTCCGGACCCCTAGGAGGAGCCCTCAGGATTGAGGACCGAGGCTCGGGGGACTGAGGATGGAGGCTCAGTGGATGGAGCAGGGGGCCCGAGGACACTCAGGCACGGTGGCGGATGGCGATGTTGGTGATGATGCGGATGATGATGATGACGATGATGATGATGATGATGATGATGATGATGATGATGATGAATATGATGATGATGATGATGATGATGATGATGATGATGATGATGATGATGATGATGATGATGATGATGATGATGATGATAATGATAATGATGATGATGAGGATGAGGAGGATGATGATGATGATGATGATGGTGATGGTGATGATGATGATGACGATGATGATGAGGAGGAGGATGAGGATGAGGATGCGGATGCGGATGAGGATGAGGATGAGGATGAGGATGATGATGCTGCTGCTGATGGTGATGGTGTTGGTGATGATGCTGCTGCTGCTGCTGCTGATGATGATGATGATGATGATGATGATGATGATGATGATGATCCGGAACTGCGTTACATGGGATTCAGTAGCGTAGCTACATTGTCCCTTCTGGATCTAAGTTCGATTCACGACTCAGGACGGAGGCCCGAGGCCCACAAAGGCCCACGGCAGCGCCCCAGGGCCACATTTGGCCTAGGCCGACGCCGCACAGAATCCTCATTTGAATCCAGCCGACTTGATGATGATGATGATGATGATGATGATGATGATGATGATGATGATGATGATGATGATGATGATGATGGTGATGAGTATGATGAGTATGATGAGTATGATGAGGATGATGAGGATGATGAGGATGATGATGATGATGACGATGATGCTGATGCTGCTGATGATGATCGTGATGCTTATGCTGATGAGGAGGAGGAAGAGGAGGAGGATGATGATGAGCAGGAGGAGGACCAGTGTACAACCCAAACTCATGAAATAGATTGTAATCGGCCATCTCTCCAAGTTTTCTTTTCATAAGCCCCATCCCAGGAGTCATTCTCACTGAAAGAATTGCCCTGCTGGAAAACAAGCGTTTGAACATCTTGAACTGTACCGGAAAACCGTTCCTGGAACTTCAACGCCGCGAGTCACCGTTGCTGTTGCGTCTGTACGGTCCTGAACCGTGCCAGAGAACCATTTTGGGGGCTTCAACACCACGAATCAACATAACCGTTGCGCCCTGAAAGTCCGACATCGTGACCAAACACCATTTCTGGCACGTTAGCCATGGGAACCCTTGAAGCTGTAGTGAACTCTTAAGACGAATCTGTTCGGCGCGAAGACAAGGGCGACATTTTTTAAGGGAATCGAGCTCCAGGTACGAACTCTTGCAATTTCTTAAGACGAATGTGCGCGGTGCTAAGGCGAGAGCCACATTCTGTAAACGACCCGCTCTCCATCTCGACACTCTTGCAAATTGTTAAGACGAATTTGCGCGGCGCTAAGCCGAGCCACATATTGAAGATGACTTGCCCTCCATCCGTGAAATTGTTGCACATGTTCAGCTTCAGGATCATGAGTGGTGAGAAGTATCAGGCGAAACGTCTGGCTCTCCCTTTCGACCGGCCTCGGGGTGCGCCAGTGAGGAGTAGTTCATAAGGAAAAGGAATGGAGGATTGTGAGAAGCACGAGGATGAGGAGGAGGAGGAGGAGAAGGAGAAGGAGGAGGATAAGGAGGAGGAGGAGGAGGAGGAGCAGGCGGGTCGGAAGGGCGCGCTTGACGACGACGGCGACAAGAGTCAGTCATAAAAGCTGTCGCTGATCTAACTTCGAGTCGTCTTGGGGCGACATCGGCTCTTGGAGGCATGCTGGGAGCATCTTGGCAATATGAGGCTATCTTATGCTATCCTGCATGCCATTTGCCTATCCGAGGATATGTTTGTACCATCTTGGGTCATCTTGGGGATGCTCGAACCTCACGTAGGTCCCTCCGTCCTGACTCCAGGGAGGCGTTAGGGGGACGGGTAAAGCTTGCCTCCCAGAGGAAGAAGGAAGTGACATGCTCTCCCCCTATTTCTCTTGCTGTCTCTCTTCTCTGCATCTCTCTCTCTCTCTCTCTCCCTCTCCCCCTCCCTGCCTCCCTCTCTCTTTCTCCCTACTACAGGTGCTTGCTGTTACTTGCAGGCCCTGCCGCGGCTGCCAGCGAGCACTCAAACCGACGTCAGTGGACTCGGCCTGAACCTCATACTAGCGCTGACTTCATCACGAATGTCACCTTCCAGCGGAAGCTGCAGGTGATACTGGAGAGGCCAGCGATTTCCTCGAGACGGTTTTGTGCCTCGGGCCGTCTCGGAGCGACCTTGGGGGCCCACGGGGTCTTCTGGGAGCATCGAGAACCCCAAAAAAGGCGAGAACACCACAATCACTGAGCAGCCTGCAGTGAACCAGTGATCTTGGCCTGCAGGAGGTCCTTTGGAGCCCTCTCGGATGCAAACCTCGTGGTGCAGTCTGTGGGGGATCGGCGCCGTGGGCGCTGCCTGTGTCCTGGAGAATGTCGTTCTGGATTTCGAAGTGGGTTTCGTGCGGTTTTTTCGGGAGGTCAGGAATGGAGACTACATAACATCCACGTGACCTTCGCTTCGTTTTTCGCTCGCCGCTCCAGGGCCTTGCACTGGCAGAAATCCACGCACAAATCCGCTGCAGCACTTCTGCAAGGCCGGCCGGTGCAGTGCTGCTTTGGCTCCAGGAGCCATGACGCGCGCGTGCGGCCGTGCGCGCTCTGCCTGCGTCCGCCGCCAGGCGCTCGCCGTCGCCGCCCCGCCGAGCGCGCTCGCGGAGCCCTCCCAGGCGTAGATCGCCGACGCCCAGGAGGCTCCGCACAGGACAGGGAGTGGGAGAGGGACAGAGGCGCACAGTCGGCTCTGATGAGTAGGTCTGCCCTGCCAAATCGAGGGTGCCCTTGCGTCCTGTTTTTTCGCGGCCAGTGCCTCCTGCACTCCTGTGGCGAGGTGGCTTTCGGAAGGGTCTTGTGTCCTCTCGCGTGTCCTCTCCAATCAAGTCCGACTGTATCACACTTTTGCGCCGGCTTCCAGCTCGAAATCAAGAATCTCTCACCACGACCGTGCCAGATGCTTTCGCTCATGGTTCCGCATGTCGAAGACGCCTGTGGCGAACCACCGCCACCCCCTGCCTCTTGGAAGCGCCCGTGCGGCCAAACGTCGGGCCAGAGTCTGACTCAAGCTGTTGGTCAACTCCTTCCCCCAGCCGTTGTGGAACCCCTTTGGGGGAAATCTATTTCTTGGGTGCCACTTGGCCGAGCAACGGCTGCGGCGCCGTTCAGCTCTCCGAGAGATCTGTAGCTTTCGTCCCTGGACACAGCCAGGATTTCATCTGGATCCTGCCCAGGTTTCAAGCAGCTTTGGGTCAATTGGGGCGCTGGACTCTAGGGCAGTGTGCGCGCGCGCGCGCGCGCGCGCGCGCGCGCGTGTGTGTGTGTGTGTGTGTGTGTGTGTGTGTGTGTGTGTGTGGTGTGAATGTGTGTGTGTGTGTGTGTGTGTGTGTGCGTGTGCGTGCGTGCGTGCGTGCGTGCGTGCGTGCGTGCGTGGGTGGGTGGGTGGGTGGGGGGTGGGTGGGTGGTGGTGGGGGGTGGTGCGCGTGCGCGTGCGCGTGCGCGTGCGCGTGCGCGTGCGCGTGCGCGCGCGCGTGCGCGTGCGCGTGCGCCTGCGCGTGTGCCTGCGCGTGTGTGCGTGTGCGTGTGCGCGTTTGCGTGTGCGTGTGCGTGTGCGTGTGCGTGTGCGTGTGCGTGTGCGTGCGCGTGTGCGTGTGCGTGTGCGTTTTTCTTTGTTTATGTGTTTGTGTGTGTGTGTGTGTGTGTGTTTGTGTTGTATATATATATATATGTGTGTTTGTTGTGTGCGTGTGCGTGTGCGTGTGCGTGTGCGTGTGCGTGTGCATGTGCGTGTGCGTGTGCGTGTGCGTTTGCGTGGGCGTGTGTGCGTGTGTGCGTGTGTGCGTGTGTGCGTGTGTGCGTGTGTGCGTGTGTGTGTGCGTGTGTGTGTGTGTGTGTGTGTGTGTGTGTGTGTGTGTGTGTGTGTGTGTGTGTGTGTCCGACGACCTGCCAACGCTTTGCACACCCTTTGTCCTTTGGGCCGCTCTTCACGGCGGCTCCTTGCCCCTGCATGCCACGTGGCGGGACCTATTTGGGTGACCACGGCTGGTCGCACCTCCGCGCGGCCATCCTCGCCAGGTACCCTGGTTCCCTTGCCCCGGTCGCACTCTGGAACGTGCGACGGCTCACGGAGGCCCACTCACAAAAGAACCGCGAGAAGCTCGCCCTACTTATGCAACTCACCTCCCGCGGGCGCGCAGCCCTCCTACAGGAGACCAGGGAGGCACACCTGATCAACACGTGGGCCTCGCTACTCTCCAACCGCCGCCTCTTTGCCACTCCTGCTCAGCCCACCCAGCGGCAGGGGCTCTCGCGAGATGTCGACGTCTTGCTTCCTCCACCTTCGAGGAACCCCCACGCCCCTGTTCTCGTCCCTGGCTCAGCAATTTCGGTCACCTGTCGGGCGCAGCACCAACCTTCACGAAACGTCAGCGTCTACCCCCCGCCCTCACACCGTACTGAGGTTCTGCGTTCCCCAACCGCGGTCCCTCAACATGCAACCGGCTGCTCCGCGTGCCATTGCGGGGACCTCAACATGCAACTGGCTGCCCCGCGTGCTGGGGAGGAGGAGGATGTCGCCGGTTGGCTGCAGTACCTGCTGTTTCACTCCGCTGCCCCCATCCCCACGGATGGGCCCACCTGGGTGGGGCTCCTCCTCCTCCTCCTCCTCCTCCTCCTCCTCCTCCTCCTCCTCCTCCTCCTCCTCCTCCTCCCTCCTTGCTCCTTGCTCCTCGCTCCTCCTCCTCGCTTCTCCTCCTCCCACCGCTGCAGGAAGCTCTGGCGGACGCGGCTCTCCGTTCACGCTGCACTCTTCGATCCCACCGCCTCCGCCTCCCGGCAAGCCAGGAGGGCGTGGCGTATACGCCGCTGCTGGGTTCAGGATGGGCCTGGCCAGGGAGCAGTGGATATGTACAGATTTCGTCGCCCTGGTAAAGCGGCCTCGAGCATGCGTTTTCTGTCCCTGGAAGTGGACCTCTCACGAGAAGCTCGGGCCCCGTGGCCTGCACCCGTGCCACCCGGCGAACTCCAGGCGGCCCCTCGGGCAAGGGGGTCTCCAACGACGAGCACCTCGCTGGGCGCCCGCGCGCCTCATCCTCAAGGGGACAACCACCCCGACCCCGATACTTGGCATTTCCTCAAATAGCCCTGGGCGTTCACTAAACAGCCCTACCCTGTTCGATTCTTTCCTTGGGTGCGTCTGCTGAACGGTTTCCGATGCCGGGGTGATTATCATGATGGCCGATTTTCTGCCCTCGGCTTCCCCCCTCTCCCCCGCCCCCGCCGTGCCTGTCCCTCGGATCCCTGTCTTGGAGCCGTATGGTCGGGTGGCAGTGCCCGCCGTGCTCGCCTCCTGGGGCCCACCTCTGGAGGTGCGGTGCGGGGCCCGGGGCGGCGGGCCTGCCGCCACGCCCGGCGGTGCCGCCTCGTCGGCTGAGCTGGTGGCTCAGGTCGGCCACGGGCGAGCCCCTCACCGCCGCGTCCGCGGGGCGCTGGCGGGCCCACTGGCGCCGGGAAGCCGCTGCTGCTGCCGCCGCCTCCCTGACGCCGAACCCAGAGAGGACCCCGCATCCGGAGACTTCGGGAGTCCTCCGGCCCTGTTGGCTGCCATCTTGCTTCGGCCGTCTCTTCGGCGCGGCTATCGCCGACACGGTTGGGCCCTCCTTCGAGCCTTGCTTTTCCTGCGACCAAGTGGCCATGAAAGGGGGGCGCTGCGGCCCCAACATTACCCTGGCGGTTTTCCATCTCGCCTCTCCCAAGAAGAATGGGCAACACCAGAGGGAAAGTGAGAAACCGTGCAGCAGCTGAGGGGCAGCAAGAGAGCAGCGCGCGCGCGCGCGACCTCGTCCTCTTCCCTCCCCGGCGAGCTCCAGCGAAAACCCTCGAGCTTCACGTTATCCCACCGCAGGGCGCGGCCTGGCGTGCCCTGCCGGGCTTCGACTTCGACACCGTCGAGCTTTATCTGCGCCATTCCATTCGGCACCTGTCCCCCTGCCCTGCCAGCGCGGTGCTCTTCGCCGATCGAAGCAAGGCCTTCGAGCGCCCCTCCATTCAGTGGCTCGAGCAGGCGCTGGCCCGGCCGCGGCCTGGTGCCGGCGCGGGCTTTCCGTGCTCTTCAGCGAGCGGCGCGTCCAATCCGTTAGCAACGGGCAGTTGCGTCCATGCAGACGCCTCCTTCGCTCCGTCGGCATGGGTGGCGTGGCGTCCACCTTTGCTGGGGCATCGGGTGAGGCCCTATCATTGAGGGCGTGGCGGAGTGCACCGGGGACAGATGAGATGCCCCGCCCACGTCGACGACCTCGCTGCCCTCCTCTCTGATGCTCCGCAAGTCCTAAGGATAGCCATCTTGATTCCCTGGGCCTCTGGGACAACTGGTCTACACATCGTTAAGCGCACCTGCGGGGGCCTTTCCTTCCCTCGCCACTCTTCCGCTTTGCGCCGTGACTTGGCAGCTCCCGCCCCGCGTTGAGGCCAGCCTTGCTGGTGATAGCAGCTTTCTGGTCACCGGCATAATTGCCCCGTGAGCTCGCTCGCGCTCTCCGTGCCCGACGGATGGCACGAAGACGAACGGATGGAAGTCATGGGAGACGCCACTTGAGCCACAGCCATTGGCAAGGCGACCGCTCGTGCACGAAGCATTGGACATGTCCAGCTCTCCGCTTGATAGAGTGCAGAGCTCTGGAGCTGTCGCGTTGCTTCCCTTGTCCCCCATCCGGCTCACTTCGTTCCTCTCAGCCTTCAGCTGGAGGTGCCCGTTCGCTCCCATTGAATGGTCGCTCTCGGGATCGCTGGCACCCGTTGCGCCCCCCTTTCCCTTTTCGCCGGCCTCCGGCTTGCCTTTGGCGTCCGCGCCAGCCCCAACTGCATTGTCGCGGCATCCTGGGCCACGGCCGCCCTCGCCCACGCGCGCCGCGACTTCTGGGCCCCCACCCGTGCTGCGGAGGGGGCTGCCAGGACCTGGGCTGCTCTGGCCAGCTGGTCGCTCGACCCCCCCCGCCCCCCATCCGCCCCGCCTGCCGAAGGCCGCCCCTGGCCTCTCTCCCTCGCCAAAGCCGCCCTTCGGCACCGTCGCGCCCCGTGCAAGAATTGTGGACGACGATCAATGGAGCGGAAGCATGTAGCCAAATAATTTCCAGATGTCCCAAACATGTTCAAACCATGTCTTAAACATGTAGAAGACACGACTTAAACATTTCAAGCACATGTTCGATCATTTTAAGCACATCTTTAATTCAATGATAGGCTCGTCAGGGTGCCCATTGTCATGGCATCCACAATGCAAGAACCAGGGCTTCACGCAACTCGAGGTCCCGGAGCCCTTCTCAGCTGGCTCTGGCCTCGCGTGGCCGGCTCGGCATCTGCATCCCCGCCCGAACCGAGGCTGCCCCTCCCCTCGGGCGGCGGGTGCGATGGGCCGTCCAGTCTCCCGCGCATGCGGCTCTGCCACGTCCGGCGGTGCCCCGCCGCTATCCGGCCCCCACCGGTGCCGTTCCCTCCCGGAGCGCTGCCTCCGCCCCCGCCGGGGCGGCATCCGTCGGCGCTCCCCCGAGAGCGTCTGCACCATGCTTTCGCGCAGGTGGACCAGGCCTGGCTGCGAGCTCGCCCGGCCCCTGCCGCCGCTTCTTCCCCGACTGCCGCCCCGCGCCCGCCGTGGGCCCCGAGGCCTTCCCGGTCCCGCGAGCGCGCG